TGTAGATAAATCTGAAAAGTAAACTAAGAATTCGTATTAGTTTCAAGAAATCATTAGTTATTTTTTAGGAAGTCATCAAAGAATGAATCAGTTTTTAAAGTCAACAAGGCAGGAAGTCGTAACTGGTTTCAGTTCTGAAGAATAAAGCTCATCACTAAGTCCATTTTTATCTTGAAAATTGTCCTTGTTTAAAAAATCAGGACCTTTCCACCACAGCTTGTTAGATCCAAGAGTTTGTAGCATCTGATCCTCTGGAAATGATGTCGGCTGGGTTCATTTCTGAAGACACATGTCCCCACTGATAGTTAGAAGTAAGTTGTTGAATTTGTGAGACTCTATTACTCACAAAGGTTTTCAAAAGATGCGGTGATGTATTGATCCAGGCTAAAGCAATGCTTGAATCTGACCAGAGCTTAAAACGTCATCAATTTGAGTTTCAAAGCTTCTAAAACCTTTTGCATAAGTTTGGACAGGAGTAGACATGCTGATAGTTCTAATCTAGGAATAGTCATAGTCTTGATTGGTGCTACACGAGATTTGCTACAAGAAAGTTTACTACAATATTCACCAGGGCTTGTAATGCTTTGAAGATATATCACTGCCCCAAATGCCTTCTCGGAGGCATCCGCAAATCCCGTAAAATGAGCATTGAAAAGGTCTCTTTTAAAATGCAACGAGGTACTTGTATATTTTCTATACTCTGAAGAGTTTTAATAAGCACATTCCATTCATTGTCAAGATGTGGTGGTAACTGTACTGTTCCGCCCAGTCTAGCTTAAGCAACCAAAGTGCTTGCATGAATATCTTTGCCTTGCTAATAATAGGACCGAGTAGGCCTAAAGGATCATATAATCTCGCTATTTGAGATAAAACATCTCTCTTCGTAACATCAGGATTTTCATTAACAGTAACTCTTATATTGCAATGTATCCTTCTTATTATTCCACAACATACCTAACGTCTTCACAGTTGTATTACTATTACGATCAAATGAAAAATTCTGTAAATCAGAGTTCTGAGAATCAATCAAACTAGTACACCACTTGTGTAGCTTCATTCCTCCTCTTTGGAGCAATTCTGTCAAATCTTTTTCTGGAGCTGAATGCATTCCTTCAAATTCGAAGATCCAGTAAGACAGTCGTCTACATAGAAATCTTCCAAGACCACTTTCGATGCTACAGGAAAATCCTTTTCTTCATCCTTCGCTAACTGTTGAAGAGTCCTTTGTGCCAAATATGGAGCGCATGCTGTGCCATAAGTTACCGTTTTGAGTCTGTCTAGTTTCTATAGGCTTATCTTCATCTTCCTTCCAAAGTATTTTCTGATATTTGGTCTGCGATGGCAATATTTCAATTTGTCGAAACATCTTCTCAATATCGGCAGTAAATGCATAAATATGCTTTCTAAACCGTATCATGATGGAAAAAAGTTCCTCTTGAATCATTCCACCTCTACATAATATGTCGTTCAATGAACAACCGTTAGTAGTTTTGGCACTCGCGTCGAACACAACGCGTAACTTTGTTGTTTTACTATCAGGTTTCAGCACGCCATGATGAGGAAGAAAATATCCTCCTTCAGTTTCAGAATAGTCTTCCATATGATTTAATGATTCATATTCCCTTAAAAATGAAACATAAAGTTCTTTCATTACAGAATCACTTGACAAACGTTTTCCACAATTGATTCAGTCTTTTTTCAGCGATTTCCTTTGAATCCCCTAATTGTATGTTTTCAACCAATATCTGGCTTGAACGGCATTTTAACCACATATCTTCCATCCGCATGCCGGTAAAATGAGTTTTTCAAAAAGTTCATTGCAGTAATTTAATTCAGAATTAACTGTAGATTTAGTTTCATTTACTTCTTCAACTTCCCAGAATGACTTTTACTAAGTTATTTAACGAATTAATCTCTGTTGACAAAAAAGTCAATAAGTCAACAATAATTTAAGTCATAATTTTTTACATTTGGAATTCTAATGCTTCCAGAAACTAAAAAGCCGAAGCAGCTGTTTTGAAGAAGTAACTCATTATCTTTTTCTAAACGTATTTTATCTGTTTTTAAAAAATTCAAAAAATAATTCCGCACCTAATAATAAATCTACCTTTTTTGCCTTGAAAAATTCATCATCAGCTAACTTTATTCCTTTCGGAATATTTAATTTCGAAATATCAATAGATTTCGATGGTGTCATGTCAGTTATTTTGGGAACAACTAATAACTCTATTTCCCATTCATTTTCCTTTTCTAAGTTCGATAAACGCGTCTTTATTTGCGATTTAAACATTCAAAGTAGTGTTGCCTATTCCACTAACTGGAATAAATGCTCGTTCTTTTTTTATTCCTAATGAGTTCATAACACCTACAGTACAAAAATTAGAAGTCGAAGCTGAATCAAGCACGGCTCTAAAAGGAATTCGTTCATCGTAAACATCGCGAAGATAAACAATTGCTGTATTTATTAACACAAATTTAGATTTATTTGCAGCTGCCATCAAAGTTGTGTGGGGGGGAGAGGGGCAGTCCTCTTTCCCATTCACTGACGAAAGGTTCAAGGTTAATTCATTTTCTTTCGATGATTCATTTTTGTTTTTCGTCAATTTTATGTAACAGCGAATGATGTGTGTCTTTCTTACAGACATAACAATTGAATTTAGCTTTACACAGCGATAATACGTTTGATGGAGAAAGGCATTTAATGCATAACTTATATTCCTTAACAAAATCATACCGCTCAGAAACAGAAATACTCTTAAATTTCGAACAATGATAAATTTGGGTGTGGTTCTTTACACATAATACACTTTCGAAAAGGGTTTGTTTTAGTTACCAAGGATTTTGAATTTCTAGAGCGACTTAATTGATTTGATACTTTAGTAGCATAGCTCTGCTTAGGAAAACTAACTTTGTTTATTTCTTCAAGAATGCGAATTCTTTCTCTTCGAGAAATTCTAAAAATTCATCAAGTTTGGGAATTTCATTTGATTTTACGTTTAGTTCAAATGCTTTTCTAGATTCTCTATTTAATTTATGCAATAAAATATTTAATATCAAAACATCAGATAAATTATTTCTATCAAATTCTAATACACTTAAAGATCTCAAACATCTTTTAACATTATCTACCAGTGATCTCAACTGAGAAGGTGAGTCATTTATTTTTTTCAAAATTTCAACAAATTATTGATAAAGGCATCAACTACTGCTCTTTTGTTTTCATATCTGCTTTCAAGTGCAGAAAATAGCGACTCAAATGTATCCTGACATGATTCTAACATTTTTGCTTCACCTTTAAGTGATGCTTTCAAATAAAACAGTTTCTCAGTATCATTTAAATTATTATTATTACCAATCATAGACATAAATTGCACTTTAAAAATTTTTAAAATCTTCATATTTACCATAAAATTGAGGAAGAGGTAAATCAGGCAGTTTAAAATTTGATTTAGAAACAGTTTTGGTTTCAAATTTATCTGTATTATTTGTTTCACAATTAGAAAGAAAAATTCTAAATCTTACTTCGAACTCTTCGATGCTTTCTTCCAATTCTTGTGTAATGCTTAGATTATCCTTCAAGTCAATTTCCTCTGGCGAAATTGGTATATTCCACTATGAGTTGTTTAACCCGAGATTTTAATTCCAACAAAGAATCCAATTTAGTCTTCATAATAACATCATGGTTGAGTTTATTCTCCTCCATTTTATACTCATCAAGGAATTTTATCAAAGCTCCGAGTTTTATCGTTTTCACTACGCCGCGTTGGCGATTCAATGAAACAATATTAGTAGGCCATATTTCTTCTCCGGCTAACGTGAGACCAAACTGTTCTTGCCGAAGATAGCTCGAACTTTATTTAATGATACTTTAACTTCAGTAAGTGGACTGTAATTATTAACAACATTTTATTTTAACAAAAACAACATTATTGAATACTAGCACACGCATGTGCTTATAGTTACCTATGTAACTTAGCTAAAGAGCGAGCAACCATATGCTCTTACATCAAGTCAGAAATCATTCATACTAATACAGCAAAAACGAAATAACTTTAGGGTTACACTAAAGCCAAACTCTGCTTGGCGTAAAACAATGCTGCCAAGCAATACTCTTTCAGACACCGAACAAATACTTGTATCAAATTTAATGCTTTTAATGACCCATCTTCCAGATTTCATTATACCTTTTCTTTTCATTTTATACTTTATAATAATCGATAAAAGTATACAATTCAAGCGCAAAAATTTAGGGTGTAGTAATTGTGTACTCTTATTTCTTTGCAAAAAATCTTTCTCAATGATTATTTAAAAATCAAATTATTCTACACTAATTATATAAATACGGTGTTAGAAGCATCATTTATTAATTATAGAACTATATATTAATGTGTTTTAATTTATGTCAATTAGAATATACGATTAAAACATAAAATGAAGACTTAAATTATAACAAATGCATTTATTACTTTGAAATCAATAAAAGTGGCCGATTGATTAAATTAAAATTGCTAAATTAAACATCATGCATCTTTTCAATTTGCAACAATATGGATTTTAATACATGCATTTTGATAATATTTAGACAAAATTTCTCGAGAAAACATTCAGTTTCTCATTTATTTTAACAAACTGTATCGTTGAATTACCTCTTATTTTAAATTTATGCGGTACCAATGAAAAATAATTATTAATAATGTTTTACATAACATATACATTGATTATGATTCATTTAATTTTATTAATATTGCTCATAGCAGTTGCTCCACTTCATTTGCAAAGAAAAATAGGTAGTTACATATTATCCTGTCAACCGGCTAAGTAGCGCGATTTAGCGCCAATTGTGGATGATCATTTCGCTTAAAATTCCGAAGTAACTTTAGACGATTGGCGACCGTAGCCGAAATATTAACCAATGGTCGTAAGTACAAAACGTAAATCGATGACTATGCATACTAGTTATACATAGTTTTATTAATCCAAATTTGTTTCTTTTCTGATAGGATGAGACTTCCTTGAAATCAAGTCTGCTATTTTTAGAAATGAAGATATTCTTGCTTGTACAACTGTAGAAAACCACTTCATTAAGTAAGTGTGATCATCTGGTGTATAGTAATTATTATTGTTCCATACAAATATTAAATATTTCAGAAAAATATGTGTCTATTAGTTTTAATATTGAGAGATATGCTTTGTATTTTAGAAAGATGAAGCTACATAGAAAATCAAGAGGTTCATTTAACAGAAATATTTAAATTGAAAAAAAAGATACTTTTCGATTGTAGTGTAGGAACTGGATTCAGTAATGTGTGTAAGGTGTGCATATACATATATACATATATACATACATACACACATACATATGTACATTTCAGAATCCGGTGCCGATAGCGGAAAAGTACTAAAAAAGAGCTGAGAATGCAAACACAGTAGTTCTTTAATAACATTTTCGTTCAATTTCACATGCATTCGATTTCACCTAATTTCATGTCTTGTTACCTTATGCTTTTATATGGCAGTAAGCTTCCAAAGTATCATACAATAATAATGATAAACAAACAATAATAATGATAATATAAACAAGAAGCAAATGTTTAGAGAAAATATCTCATGGTTTATTGCTTCAAGCATAACAGAACACGAATACAGTAATAAAATATGTATCTACGTGTATTGAGAAAGTTGTTTCTAACAATATTTACTACAAATCTTCTACCAGCACGCATGATACCAACAAATTATTCCCTGCATTGCATGAAATATAAGCGCATCATTTCTTAAACTGAATTCCAACTCACGCGCGAAGAAAGGTATCAGTATTTTATAGCTTCACTTTCTGAATAATTTGTAATTCAAAAGCTGTGAACCTAATTTCCAGATGCGTGACAGAGTTCGGTTTGAAAACAGAAGTATGCGTTTATGGCACAGAATGCGAATGAGTGTCGGGAATTCTATTTTCTCCTATTGCCAGATCAATAAATTTCTTCTTTCCTGGATTTAGCGCTGGCTGCAACCGATTTTGCTTCTCTTGTTTAAGCATTCATTTTCAGGCAGAGGTATAAAAAAAGATTTTTTTTTCTGCTGCTATATCTTCTTTTTTTCTAAGAGAATTTTAACACGTTCCTGCTATTAATTAATTAGATTAATCGTGTGTTATTTATATGTAGTTCTTTTTAGCAAGAGATGATTAATTTGCTTCAGAAAATTCTAATTCAAGCTTTTCGTTCTTAAAAAAAAGGTACTGAGGTGTTAAAAAGAATTTAGTGTTTCTTTCTTCGCTATAGCATAAATTTAGTTATCATTTTATTAATGGCTTTCAAGGCTTTTATTTCTCAGTCGACTGTCGGCGGTAAAGTAGAATTGAAGAATCATGAGTTCACTTAGAATAAATGCGAACGGATGTAACATATTTTAATACTAACTGAGAATTATCTTGCGTTCTTTAGGAATATCAAGCCTATTATTGCGCACTTTATTTTTTAAATAGTATTACTTTCACTTAATTTTCAAAATGTAAGAAACGGCGATTGAATTTAAAAACTAAAAGGAATTCTAACCACAGATCATTGTGAGTAATTACAATATGGATTCATTTTCTAGTTGTTAATAATTATTTAATAAAATTCAAGCATTTTTAGCCCATAAGGACTGTCAATCTCGAAATGGGATTTCGCGTGTGTTTGCTATAAACGGCGTATAACGTTTCAAATATTTGCCGGCAAATATTATCGCCTATATTATTTTAAACGAAACTATATAAGGAAGAATCTGCATAGATCTATGCATGTATGTCCCTCGCATTCTGAAAACGACGATGAACCTGAGCCATCAAATTGAATAACATAATCCTGTAACCAAACATGTACACCTCGGAGCCGGAATCTTAAATTTCGAATTTTTTTTATTATTTATTTCATATTTTGTAAAACTTTAATGAATTCGTGATTAACTCAACAATTTGAAAGCGAGCAGTAGCGACAATGATCCAAATAAAATATTTTTATCACCAGCGCGGAAGACTATTGCCATTCGGAAAAATGGAAGGTATTTATTTTTCAATTTTAACTAACAAACTTGGCTTTGCGAAAGCAGTGTGTTGCTGCACCCGGAAATAAAATACTTTTATCTTCCAGGCGCCAGCGTGTTCAATTCAGTAAAGCTTGAAACATATTCAAGTTTAATCTTAATCTGGAAGCTTATTGAGTAAAATACAAGGAACTTAAAAGCAGTAAACACAGTTCGCAAGAATATTTTTATTATAATTGGTTTAAATAATTATACCAACTGATTAAAATTATTATATTCTTTTTCTTTTTTATGATAACTCTTTTTCGTTTTAAAGAAATAATTAGCGAATATAAAAATATGTAAGGTTTTTATCTAATACTCTGTCGGGAATTCTAAAAATATGTTGTTTTTAATCATTTTGTGATTTTGCTGTTGATTTTAATTTTATGTGGCATTAGTACGCTAAACGTGATATTTAATAAGTAAAATTAACATATTAAAAGTTAATGATAAAAAGACAAAATTCGATGGTTAGCTAGCATATTAAGAAAATTGATAATTGATATGATGAATTAAGAAAAGACTGAAAAAAATATAAAAAATATATACCAGCACTTAACACTGCATCGGAAATTTTAAACATGTGCTGCTATGCAACTTTAAAAAAAAATTGTGATTTTGTTATTTAGCTGTATGTAGAGTAAGTGCGAAGAAAAGAATGCTTCATCATAAAGCTAAAAAGAGAAAAAAAATGGGATAGCACGTGTGATTTCAAGAGCAGACTGGAACACTGCGAGTTCAGCAAGAGGTAAAAAACCTTTTGGGCGACCGTTAAAATTTGAAACCTTTCCGATTTTTTTGTCGCATTTGCTGAGTGTGTAACAAATAATTGTTATGTCGGACCTTCTGCTTGATCTATTTACAAAATTTCAATAGTGATTTGCTCAGACAAATATTTAGATTAATAAAACAGTAATTAAAAAGCTAATGCATAAATGATTATTAATAATTTAAATACAAAATTATTATACACAATTTAAAGTGACAGAAAATTACCGAAATAAATAAAATAATAATGTTAAATAATGAAAATGCTAAGCAATAAAAAAACAGAAAAAAATCCAAAATAAATCACAGAAATTTGAAATAAATAGAGATGAATAAACAATAAAATGCAAGCAAATATGCTTGTAAATTTACAGCAGCATTTATTTTTAAACAGAAATAATTTGCATTCTCGGATCCGTTCAGATCTGACTTCGTATTTTAAAATTTTACTGCATTTATGTTTTGTAAAAGTGATATTTAGGACATTTTTGTCTTCATTAAAAGAGAAGTAAATTAAGAAGTAATTCTACAAACTGTGCAAAGAATTTCCAGGCAAAGACATTTTTGCTTCATTTTTTAAAAGGAGCTACAAAAAGAAATATTTAATTCTAGGCACAAAATATGCAAATAATTATGCTTTTACGATTAGTTTTTCGTTCCTTCGAAGTTCTTTCCATTTCTTGAACTCAAGCATCCTTAGGAAAGAAAGAAATGAGTAACTGAAAAGATTTCTGATGGAAGTGAACAGCCGCATTAGTGGTAATAGCAGTCAATTACACTGACTTCAGAAAAACATCCTCGTATCAATTTATCATGCTCGAGGAAATGCACTTTTATCCTAGAATTCTCACCCATCAATCCAACCCCCCTCGAACCATCTCCGACCCAAAAAGAAATAAATAAAAATAAAATACAAAGTCAAATAAACGTAGAGAAAATAAATTATATCTGTCTGTAAAACGCGCTTCCTTACAGAACATTTCGAAAACTGCTATAACAGATGTTGTAATGGTGCCAGGCGGCGGAAAAATAAATGCAATTTCTGCGCATTAATATTCTGCAACTTCTTCTGCTTTAACTGCAACCTTAGCTGATGGAACAAGTACAATAATGGTCGAGAGTCATGATAATATTCTTTCCCTGGATGGTGACTTGTGTTATGAAGTGAGAGAAGAAAAATTGAAAAGAGGAAAGCACCCTGAAATTGGATTTCTAAGGAAAATCAAATACATTGGAAAAGAATTTTATTTAATAAAATATTTGGAAACTTTGTTTGCTTACAATGCGCAGAGTTACTGAGATAAAATGCTGTTAAGATGCTAAATATATTTGATCAATACAGCGCTGGTATAAACAAAGTTAAGTTTTGTCTTGAGATTATTCTTTTGTTGGTTTTCATGCGGCATAGTTTTCATTTCCCATTTAATAAACAGCACATTTTGTTGTTTGAAAAAAATGAGAATTTCATTTGGCAGCACGCCAAAAGGAGAAGTCCCATTTAAATAATATTCATTTTGGCTTTGAGAATATTATTTTGATTTTTAGGTAAAACTCGAAAATAGAAATGAAGGCGATTGAATTAAAAACATTGGAGTTAAGAACTCACAAAAGGTTTCGTCGGTTTTTCAAGCTGTGTCATTCATGTTATTTATCAGTCTTATATTAATATTCTATATATATAAACACCTATAGAAGTAAGGTTCCATATCTTTTATATTGAAATTTTCTGTCCGTTCCCAGAAACTCGAAATGCATCGAGATCTTCATGAACTAAAAAATCAAGGTTCTAATCTTTTCAGCAGTCACACAGATTTACTTAGAACTTTCTCGACAGCAGTTTTGGCAAGGCAAACCATTACCGTACAGTGCGATTTAACACCAATAACGGATAACCGTAATATCACAAAACATTCATAAGGTCTTCGTATTAATGTTAGGTGACTTCAATTATCCTTCGATAAATCAACTTAGGTTTTGTAAAGAATGACGTAAATCAACTGCTTTTTCTCTTTTTTCCTCTCCTATTTTGAAAAAATGAAATGGTTAAAGTCGACTTGCGATGGACGAAACAGCATGCAGTCAAAGTTTGAACTAATATTTTTTTTTATTGGTTGTATCCATAACTTGTGTATATTAATTATCTATTGAAATAAATAAAAATCATTTCCTTCAGGCTTCCTCCGAAATGTAAGAGGGATCTCCGCCATGCTAAATCCCAATTATTCATTAATGGAAAGTCTTTTATAGAGATT